GGCGGGTCCGGGCTGGGGATTCGAACCCGCCACCTTAGGTGTATGTGGCTGGCGCCTTAGCCAGTTGAGCTATAGGCGCTGAGCCTTTACTCCCACTTTTAAGGCTACCATACCCTACTTCTTCCTTCTCATCCCTTTGAACCATCCTGCATACATTATGCATACATATTCCTGCTTTGTATAACTCCAAACCTTTACTTTTGACCTGTGATGCCTCTGAATTCCCACAGGGTTTAATACCATCTTGACCTCTGGCCTCTCTCCAAGCTACATTGCCCTGAGAGTACCACTTGACTGTCCCACTGATACACCTCCACACACACTGGGAATAAGCTGTCTGGGTTTCCTACGCATCTGTGTGTAGTTTTGGCCCCTGACCTCTGTGGCCCAATCCTTTGCAGGATCTCCCAGCTCGGACAGTTGCCCAGGTCTGAGCAATGGGGAGGAGCTTGGACTGGAGAAGCTTAGCCTAGAGCCTCGTAAGTCTCTGGGTGAGGAAGGCCTAACCCGGGGCCCCGATGCTTTTGGACCTGCTGATCGTGAAGATGAGGAGGAAGATGAGGATGAAGAGGAGCAGACAGACCCCAAAAAGCCAACCACAGATGAGGTCAGGCCCATAGCTGGGAAGGCGGGGTGGTAGCATGTATTCTACCTGAGGCAGGCCTGAGGAAGCAGGAACAGCAGGTGCAAGGGCCCTGTGGCAGGGCCAGAGTGTATAGGAGGAGGGGGCCAATGCCAGATGAGGGAGTGTTGACTTGAGGAGAGCACTAAGGAGTAGCCCAGAAAAGGCCAGTCTGGTTGTCCATCAGGTCAGGTTTGAGAGGGCTCCAGGGTTGGAGAGGTATGGGCAAGGTGGGCCAGAGGTCACCATCAGAAAGGCTGAGTTCCAGGCTCCTATGAGCCACTGAGGGATGATGGCAAGGTGGTGACTGGAGGGAATGGCTAGAATGGAAATCACATACGTGTAGGCAGTTGAACTCTTGGGGCTTGGGGGAGGAGTTCCAGTGTCTGAAGACCAGGGAGGGGAGGAGTGAGCAGGAGGCAGGAGGTAAACTGGGCAGGGAGGGGCTCAGGGTGTGTTAGTGAGGCCCCAAGGAGGAGGCTGGCTAAGGTAGCTCCAGCCATGGTAGCATGATTGCAGCAGAGGGTCAGTGCTTCCATCCTGAGGGGTCTGGTGGTGGGGACAGCCCTGTTGATCCTGGGTTTGGGGTCTCAGGGCACAGCCAGCAGTGAGGTCAATGCCACTGAGGAGATGTCCACACTTGTCAACTACATTGAGCCTGTCAAGTTCAAGTCCTTTGAGGCTGCTCGAAGTGAGTAGGAGGTGGGTGGCGGGGGTGGAATCTGGCCTGCCCACCCCTGCCAGGCCCGACTCCCTCTCATTGCCCACTCCCCAGAGAGGAACAAGTGCTTTGAAATGTCATCCTTTGTGGAGACCAAGGCCATGGAACAGCTGACCAAGAGCCCCATGGAGTTTGTGGAGTATCCTTCTGAGGTGCTGGGGGCCGGCGAGCCAGAGAAAGATGCTTAGGGGCTGGCCCACGTGTCCTGCTCCCACTGTGCCGCCTGCATATTGTTCTGGCCCCTACACCCCAGGCTGGGGTTTGGGCAGGTCCTTATGGTCTCTGGGGGAGAAGCAGAGGCCAAAAGCAGTGGGAGTCCTGGGAAGGCTGGGTAGGAGTTAGAGGCCAACAGAGGGCTGGGCACTGGCACCCCAAGTGGCCCCTGACTACCAACCTCAGATATAACAAGCAGCAGCTGAGCCGCATCTACCCCAAGGGCACCCGAGTGGACTCCTCCAACTACATGCCCCAGCTCTTCTGGAACGTGGGCTGCCAACTTGTCGCCCTCAACTTCCAGACCCTAGGTGAGCTCAGTCCTAGTCTGACTGACTTCTGACCCCTAATCCTGCTAGTCCTGCCCAAATGGACTTCTGACTCTGTCTAATCCCAGGTGCCCCAGCCTAACTCAGACCTTGACTAACCCCAGCTCCTGGCCACGGCTGACTCTAGACCCCTCAGCTATCTGATCTTTCCTGAATCTGGACTCCAGTGTCTTTTGGTCCTACCCCAAACCTAGACCCTGGATTCCACTGACCCCTGATGACCCCTGGCCCCCCACAACACACAGCCTGACTCTTCCCTTCCTCATGGCACCCCCAGACTTGGCGATGCAGCTCAATGCAGGCGTATTCGAGTACAATGGGCGCACTGGGTACCTACTCAAGCCTGAGTTCATGCGGCGGCCAGACAAGTCCTTCGACCCCTTCACTGAGGTCATCGTGGACGGCATCGTGGCCAATGCCTTGCGGGTCAAGGTGGGGCCCAGAGGGCTCAGGCTGGGGTGTCCTGGGGACAGGACTCTGAGCAGCTGCCTCACCCTGCGCACCCCCAGGTGATCTCGGGGCAGTTCCTGTCCGACAGGAAGGTGGGCATCTACGTGGAGGTGGACATGTTTGGTCTCCCTGTGGACACGCGGCGCAAGTACCGCACTCGGACCTCTCAGGGGAACTCATTCAACCCTGTGTGGGACGAGGAGCCCTTTGACTTCCCCCAGGTGAGCCTGGCCCCACCTGGCACAGGCAGATCCAGCCCAGACCTGCCCTTGGCTCAGTGTGGGAACAGGAATCAGGCATGCTAGTGGTGACTGGGATCACAAGTGGGGGCACTGAGGGACCTCCCCAGCCCTGCACATTCCAGAGAAAAGGGTGGCAGGGGAGTTCTAGCAGGTCTTATGGTCCCCTGTAAGGAATGGACACAGTCTGCCCCTCTCCAAGCAGGAGGGCCTTGCCTGAGATCACAACGCCAGACTCCCACTGGCTTTTCAGGCCTCCTATAGTCCCATACAATGGAGCCTCTGCTCCTGACCTAGGCTAGAGTATTCTCAGTCAAGACTCTTAGCTTACTCTAAGTTTCTAAGCTGGCAATGACCAGACCTGCCGATGATGGCTCTGAGGGTGTCTGCCTGTGCTCTTGGCTCAGAGCCCTGATGGCCACTGGTCACTGTGGGCCAGGCCACAGAAATGTGAATCAGCCATCACCTTAATGGTGATGATGACTGATGGTCAGTTGTTGGTCAGCTCACCCAAAAGTCTGCTCTGAGTGTTTGTCCTTGGTGGCTGTGGTCAGCTCCATGGCTCAGTACCAGTTTGGGCCCACAGGTGGTACTGCCCACACTGGCTTCACTTCGCATTGCTGCCTTTGAGGAGGGTGGCAAATTCGTAGGGCACCGCATCCTGCCTGTCTCTGCCATCCGCTCAGGTGAGGCCTTGGTTCACACAGCAGGTGGTGTGTGGGGACCTGGCTGAGCCCAGTGACCCTCACTCCTGCCCTCCAGGGTACCACTATGTCTGCCTGCGGAATGAGGCCAACCAGCCGCTGTGCCTGCCAGCCCTGCTCATCTATACTGAGGCCTCAGACTACATTCCTGATGACCACCAGGGTGAGCTGAGGGGCGAGCAGGGGAGGGCCAGGCTGGGAAGGGTGGGGGACAATACTGCCACCAGGGCTTGGATATGGCCAAGCCAAGTGGCCCTGATTCAGGGTGGCAAATAAACCCAAGGGCAGATTCTTCAGTTTCTCATTCAGACCAGAGCTGGTAGGGGCTGTGTGGCCTGGGGCCCTTTGTTTCTAGGACCTTTGCCTCTGCTTCCTCCTAGATTATGCCAAGGCCCTGATCAACCCCATTAAGCACGTCAGCCTGATGGACCAGAGGGCAAAGCAGCTGGCTGCCCTCATTGGGGAGAGTGAGGTGAGCCAGGCAGCACCATGGACAGGCCCGGTTGGGTAGGGTACAGGTTCACTGTGACCCAGGGGATCAGTGGACACGACTGCCATGGGTGTGGGTGGAGTAGGAGGTATGGGCTGACCTCTGGGCCCAGCCCTGGTGGAGAAGTCCATGCAGTCCCCATCACACTGTCCCAGATGACTCCCAGCTTCACGGCCTGGCTCCCCTATAGACTCAGGGCCCTCCTATAGACTCCAGCTTCCTTCACATGCCCATTCCCCTCTGCTGGGAGAACCTGTTCCCCTTTCTGGATGTTTGTCTCAAACTAGAACATAAAGCCAAGTGAATGCTGAGCATCAGGCCTAGTATGCATCTTATGACCTCCTTGGCTCAGTAATCCCTCACCACCCAGTTTTAGGGCTGCCATCCCCAGTGTAGGGGTGGCATACATGGAGGTCCTAAGTTGCTTGTGTGAGATTGCTCAGCTCAAAAATGGCCTGGCCTGGTTTGGGTCTTAAACCTGCATCTCTCTGCTACCAACACCGATCCTTATTCCCATACTACATGGGGCAGGGGCTTTGGATTCTCTTGCTCAATAGTCTTTGAGGCCTTAGGATTTTGAGGAGATGGAAACCACCCATTTGTATTCGAGAAGCTTTCAGGTCAGACCTGGGCTAGAATTCCTCCAGCTGCGAGCAGGGCCAAAACTGGGCCCACAGATGCTCCTGCCACTTCACTAGTCTGGTGTGAAGCCACAGGCTTTAAAATGTGGGATTCTGGGAGGGCACATGGAGGGTGGTGGCTTCCGTGGGGAAGGGTCAGGAGTAGAGGCTCACCAGCACAGCTAGACTCAGTCCCTGTGGGGCCTGCGGCAGGCAGTGAAGAATGACTGCAATTAGGGCTGCTTAGAGCTGTTAGCCGAGAGGCTGGTGCCCGCTCTGCGGTTGCTTCCTTCATTGATTTAATCAGGAGCTAAACAATAAGGAAGATGTGCAACTGTGAGCAAGGGTGGAGGGACACGGAGATGGGAAGAGACTCGGGGCTGGCTCAGCCCTTTCTAGAAGAATCTGGGAGTCCTTGAGCACTTGCAGTGGACCTGGCATTACATTATTTTCTCACACCCCACGTAGAAAAGGGGTGTGGAAAGCCTTAGTTTGTGCCAGCTTATTTCTCACTTGGGTGTCCAGACAGCCCTAAATTACAGTGAGTGTAGCAACCACATGCATGGGCTGGAAGATGCTGACCAGACCACTGGAAGAGTGCTGAGAGGTTATGGAGGATAGAGGACCTGGAGAAAATGCCATTTCTGGAAAGAACATTCTGCTTTTCTCCCCACAGGCTCAGGCTGGCCTAGAGATGTGCCAGGAGAGCCCATCTCAGCAGCCAGGGTCCCAGGTGTACCTAAACCCCACACCTAGCCCACTGGTCACCTCCCCCCGCCGGCCCCCAGGTCCCACCACCTCCCCTACCAGCACCTCCCTCAGCAGCCCAGGTAAGGAACAGTTGGGGCCCCGATGGGCTGAGGGGAGTGGCTCCTGCCACCATGTCCTTCAGCTTCTCACAGGAGGCCTCTGCTCTCCAGGGCAGCGGGATGACCTCATTGCCAGCATCCTCTCAGGTAGGGTAGGTGGGGGTGGGGCCGCCTGGTGGGAGTGGGGCTGCAGGTAGGCCCACCCTGCCCACTTTTGCTCTGCTGCTTCCAGAGGTGGCTGCCACCCCACTGGATGAGCTCCGAAGCCACAAGACTCTGGTCAAGCTCCGTAGTCGGCAAGAGCGAGACATGCGAGAGCTGTACAAGAAGCATCAGCGGAAGGCTGTCACCCTCACTCGCCGCTTGCTTGAAGGCTTGGCCCAGGCCCGGGCTGAGAGCAGGTGCTGGCACCGGCAAGGTGTCCTGTGAGTGTCCAGGCTGATTGTATGGTGTGTTGACGTGGATGTTAGGGGTGCGTGCACATGGGTCTCCACACCACGTGGGCAGGGAGAGATGGCAGGGTCTGTTCCTTGATCCCCAGGGGGAAGGTTTGGTGCAAGGAAGATAGAGGAGACTTCTTGCAACAGGGTCCATCCTTTTCCCAGAAGGTGACATCTCTTTGATGTCCCCCATGAGAGGCATGTGGTCCAAACAGGCTCCCATCATTTGGGTGGAACTAACAGGTCTCCTAGTTTGCATAACAGACCTGGCCCATGGGGTGGCATCTGCCATTGCCCACTGGGATATACCCTCCCAGCCCAAGCCCAGGTGATGGAGCATTAGCCCAGAGGGGTTCTCCCCACAGGGGTGGGGCTGGTGACATGGAGGACATGAAGGAAGAGGAGGAAGAGGTGAAGCGGTATCAAGAGTTCCGGAACAGGCAGGTGCAAAGTCTGTTGGAGCTGAGGGAGGCCCAGGCAGACACAGAGGCTGAGCGGAGGCTGGAGCACCTGAAACAGGTGAGGAGGGCTGCAATGAAAACAAAGTGAGGGAAAGGGAGAGGTGAGGGAGAGTCTGCTTTCTGGCATTGGTTCTATGTCACCTCCTGGCTACCTATGTCTGCAGGTTCAGCAGCGGCTCAGGGAAATTGTCCTGGAGGCACACACAGCTCAGTTCAAAAGGCTGAAGGAGATGAATGAGAGGTGAGGCAAAGGATTTTTGGTGGGTGGGGCAGGGGACTCCCTGGTACTAGGAGGAGGGCAGAGTCCCTGGTCCTGCCTCTGACCCTTCCTCCTCCCCCACCGGCTTCTCCAGGGAGAAGAAGGAGCTGCAGAAGATCCTGGACAGAAAGCGCCACAACAGTATCTCAGAGGCCAAGACAAGGGAGAAACATAAGAAGGAGGCGTAAGGGCATCAGGACTGGGAGCCATTTGGGCGCTGGGGAGGCAGGGCAGGTACCTGGGCACTGAGCCCATCCTGACTTGCTCCTGCACAGGGAACTGACAGAGATTAACCGTCGGCACATCACTGAGTCAGTCAACTCCATCCGTCGGGTGAGTGAGGCCACCCTAGCCCCACCCTCTTCCTTCCTTCATCAGACACCCATCTCCTTGGTGGCTGGCCTGGTGCCACATTGCCCTCAAGGGACTGCTAGAGGCTTTTCCAAGGCCCAACAGCCCCCCATACCCATATTATATTCAAAGCCAATCACCTGCTCCCTGTGGCTTTGTAGTCTTTGAGCCTGGCCATCTCCCAAACCTGGCACACAATCCTGGGAGCCTTCACCCACCTGATTTATGTGCCTAGCCAGAACTGCAGGGTCCTGGCCCATTCCTCAGGGCTTCTCAGCTGAGCCCTTGCCCACCCCCATAGCTGGAGGAAGCCCAGAAGCAGCGACACGACCGCCTTGTGGCTGGGCAGCAGCAGGTCCTACAGCAGCTGGCCGAAGAGGAGCCCAAGGTGAGGCTGCGGTGAGGCCAGCAGAAAGGCAGGGTGCTGTGGGGCCTGGCCTTGCCTGTGATACCTGTCCTCCACAGCTGCTGGCCCAGCTGGCCCAGGAATGTCAGGAGCAGCGGTCGAGGCTGCCCCAGGAGATCCGCCGGAGCCTGCTGGGCGAGACGATGGAGGGGCTGGGGGACAGGCCTCTGGTGGCCTGTGCCAGCAACGGTCACACACCCCAGAACAGTGGGCACCTGTCTGGTGCTGACTCGGAGAGCCAGGAGGAGAATACGCAGCTCTGAACTTTGAGCAAGAGGTGGCCACAGGGCCAGGGTGGGCACTGGGCAGAGGGCGGAGGTGAAGACACTAATTTTTTTTTTTTAACTTTTTATCTTTAGAAATTTTATTTTTTTAAACCTGGGCCAAGTATTCCACACTAACCCCCTTCCTTCATCCTCCTGGTGCCCTGTTAGGCCCTAGCCTTCCTTTTTGCCCTCAGTCCTAGGGAAGGGCCTGGTTGAGCCTTGCTCCCTGTGGAGCCAAACCCCAGAGTCTGGCATCTCCAACCCTTCCCAGGGAGCACTGGCTGGAGACTCAGAACTCTGGGAAGTAGGGGTCACATTCTTTCTCTTCTTTGGGGAATTTTTTTTTTTACATGAATAAAAGTGGATTTCAGGGACCCTGTGTACAGTGTGGTTTAAGGTAAGAGGGCTCTGCCACCTTTTCTGGGGCCTTCATTTCCTCATCTATAAAATGAAGCTGTGGCCCTTTGAGGTCAGGTCCCCAGTGAAGGGCTGCTGGTTTGAACTTGAGGTGGCCTTGCCCAGGGCCTGCAAGTCTTCAAGTGTTCTTCCTCATTGCCTGCTTCTATGTGTGCCCCTATCCCAGGCCATTACTCCTGGTTCCCCTCCACCCATTGCCTTTCTCCCTCCTAGGCTCTCCCTGTCCTCCTTTACAGAGGCTTAGGGCTTGCTTCAGGAAGCCTCCCCTACCCCTCTTCCTGTTGCCTGATATGACCCAAACACCCAGCATCTTCCGCTGGGGCTGCTCTGGGGCTCCCCCCATGCAGCTGACTCTACCACAGGGCAGATGGGCTAGGGTGGAGCTGGAGAGCTCAGGACTTGCCCAACACCAGGGGATCTGGCTTTTCAGAGATAGGTGGGAAGTCAGCCTCCTGGAAACTCCTGACAGAAGGGAAGCTGACAGTCACAGACATACCCAGGGGCTGGAACACCCAGCATCCATCTCATCCTTGTGAGGGAGATGTTGTGCCTGTTTTACAGATGAGGAAATGGAGGCCCAGAGCGATGTCACGTGTGCCAGGCTACAGCTAAGAGATCCTGACCCGGAGGCAGGGTGGGCCTGAACCCTCTAGCAGATTGTCTTCAGCCAGCCTGGAGGATCTATCCATGCCTCAGGACCAGCGCAGAGCCCATGGAGAGGGTGTGGCTAGGCAGCAGCAGGGTCAGGCTGGCACCTCTTCAAGGCCTTGCCCAGCTTCCTGGCGAGTCCCAGGCTCACAGACTCCCTCCTCCAGAGGAAGGCAGCCTCTTATCTGGGCTTATCTCCTACCAATTGACTGTTTGCTTTGCTTTGTTTTCATTGCAGCCTCAGGCAAACAGATGGAGTGGGGAGGCTGGAGAAACCTGTCCAGAGTAGGGCCCTTCTCCCTCAGGGTCAATACCACTGCCCAACCTTCCTCCCTTCTGCTGTCAGATTTTGTCCTATCCCCAAATCTGCCTACTCCCCTGTATTCCGTGTCTAGGCCCTACAATAATAGCAAGGCCTACCTTCTTGACCCAGCTCCCCTTCACTTACGGAAACATTCCATGTTGGTTCCTGGGTCCTCAAAAACCAGCTAAACTCCCAACTCCTGGTTATGACCTTGCAGTCCTTCAGAAGTCTGGCCTGTGCTGCTCCTTCCTTGGCTCTCCTGCCAGGAGTGATTGCCCAATTCTCCACCTCACCTGCAGGTCGCAGCTCTAGCTCTCCTCCTCCCTGACTTCCCCACCGGAGAGAGCCTCCCTCTCCCCGGCCCTAGCCCCTCTGTGGTGTAACTCATGTCTGTGTACTCAGTAAAAGCCCTAGCCTGGGCTACAGAGGACGCCAATAAATTTTTCTGGAGCTAAGCCCGAGCTCGCGAGGGGTCCTCGTGTGAAGCTTCTCTGTCCCCAGTCTTCCGCCTCCCCTGCTGTCTGAACGTCCTGCCAGGTCCCTGAGCAGCACTGGCCCAATGCCGGCCACACAGTAGCTGCTCGCAAGGACTGACCCAAATAGGAACAAATGACCCTCCCCTGGAAATCGCGGTATGGTTTGCAGAGTGCAGAATTCTACCTGCGGGACAGGCGGTGGCTCCCAATTACCATCCTAGAGATAAGGAGCCAGTAACCTGTGACTCTATTTGGTGTCAGAGCCCTTCCTGGTTTCCATGGCTGGGTGCCACTCAAAAAGCCTCAGTTTCCCTTATGGGTAAAACACCTATCTTTTGAAATTATCCATGTACCCCAGCCCGCAGAGCCCTAAGCAGCTGACAGAGGAGACTCGACGGCACAGACGCGGGCTTTATTATCACGTTTACCCACGAGCTTCAGTCCACAGGGCACCGCAGAGGAACCGGCTCTGGTGAGGCAACGGTTAATACCAGCTCACAACTGAGCGCAAGTGCCCCGGGGCAGCCTAGCGCCGGAGGGCGGGGCCTCGGAGCCACTTCCTGCGGCTTTGAGCGGAAAAAACTTAGAAACTTCCGATGGGCCGAACCTTTCGTGGCTCTCGCACGCACCGAAAGGGAATCTGGGTCACACCATTTCTATCCGAAAAAGAAAGGATCCTCTTTTGCATAAAACTTGCGGAAAAACTTCCGCCCATACCCAAGATGGCCGCCAAAGGATCTGGAGGGGGCAGAGCCTCAAGGCCGAAGGTCACTGGCAGGGGGCGGAACCTCCCCTGCCCACGTTCCGATCCCACCAGGACTGAATGACACGCGTCCAGCTGGAGCTCTGTCGCATCTGTGTCGCTGTGCCTGCGCTCTTCGGGCGAGGAAGTCCCTTCGGGATGAGAGGGGAAAGGGCTAATTGAATTAGATTACCCTGGCAGCTAGAGCCAGGCCCCATTTGTGAGATCTCGAGGCAATAATCAAGACCATAACGGCCTGCCCTACACTGGGTGGTTTGGAAAGCATGGGAGCACGTTTGGGCCTTCAGGAATGGGGACAGTTTAGATCCCAGGAACTCCAAACTGGGGACGGAGGGAGAGGACGTCTAGAGCCTAATATGGAAGACCTGAGCCGGAAACCCAGCACCCAGATGGGACCTCAATTCAAGAATTAAGTGACTACGAAGTTGGGGGCCAAAAAGCTCAGACACCCTCAATGGGCTGGGCCAAGACCACAAACACCAGCATGCCTCGCGCTCCAAGGTTTGGGGAAGCCCGCGGCTCTGGCTTGGTGCGGGATCTGACTACAATCCCGACATGCCCTGGGACAAGAATAAAAAGGGCAGTGGAGGGAGGGGTGCCCTGGGACTACAAGTACCGGCACACCGGGACACAGGGGTGGGGAAAAAGTGCGTGGTGGGGACAGATCTGAAACTACAGGCCCCGGCATGCTGTGGACTTGGAGGGGAAAGGAACCTAAGACTAGTTGGGACCACTGATACGGACGTCCTCTGGGACACAGAAGGAACAGACGGGTGGAAAGCAGCCTAAAACCAGCGCTCACCTTGAAGGAGTCTTCGAACTCGTCACTCATCCTCCGGAGTTCGCGGCCATAGCGCTGTGCAGCCCAGAGGTTGGGGGGCGCCGAGCGTGAGCGGCCCCGGAAGGGGCTGGGCTCTTCAATCCCTTCATCCTCCTCTGTCCCTGCCGGGTACGAGCTGTGGCGACTCCGGGTCTCCACTGCCCCAGGTCCTGCAAAGAGAGTCAGTCAGGGGTTGGGGGGCGGGGGAGCCAAGTTGACTCTTAAGTTTCTCTGCGTCACTCGCCACTGCTGTCTTCGTGGACAAGTCACAGTCTAACTCTCAAGGCCCCAGCTCCCAGTGCGAATCGAGGTTAGCCCAGGGCTTTGGTGAAGATTCAAGTTACCTGATTGATCCTACAGATCCTTACTGAGTGCCAATGGTAGATGAGGCCCTTAGAATATAAAATGAACTTCCATTGTGCCTGGCACACAAGGGCACAAGAAACAGTAGCTAGAATTATTTGTGTAAGACTGTCATGGGGCCTCCTAGCAAGCTCTAGGTGGGTATCTAGTACATCACCTCCATTCTACAGAAGAAACTGATTCTCTGGATAGGGAGGTGTCCTGCCCCAGCAGGCAGGACAGAACTCTAGTTCTGCAAAGGACCTGCAGGGGCTCCTGAAGAGCTGCACCGTCATGTTTCCTGTCTGTATTCCTCACAGAACCTGCTTTAAGAAAATGTCTGGAATTGTCTGTGGACTTTTTATATAAATTATATATATATATATATATATATTTTTTTTTTTTTTTTTTTTGGAGACAGTCTCACTATGTCGCCCTGGGTAGGGGGCTATGGTGTCACAGCTCACAGAAACCTCAAACTCTTGGGCTTAAGTGATTCTCTTGCCTCAGCCTCCCAACTAGCTAGGACTACAGATGCCTGTCACGACGCCCGGCTAATTTTTGGTTGCGTTGTCATTGTTTGGCAGGCCTGGGCTGGGTTTGAACCTACCAGCTCTTGTGTATGCGGCTGGCACCCTAGCCCCTGACCTACAGGCACTGAGCCAGTGGATTTTTTTTTTTTTTTTTTTTGAGAAAGAGCTTCAAACTGTCCCCCTGGGTAAAGTGCTGTGGCATCACAGCTCACAGCAACCTCCAACTCCTGGGCACAAGCGAGTCTCTTGCCTCTGCCTCCCAAGTAGCTGGGACCACAGGCGCCCACAACGCCTGGCTATTTTTTGGTTGCAGTCATTGTTGTTTTTGCAGGCCCGGGCTGGATTCGAACCCGCCACCTTAGATGTATGTGGCTGGCGCCTTAGCCACTTGAGCCACAGGCACCAAGCTGAGCCAGTGGATTTTTTTAAGGTAATAATTTATGGAGTACTTATTATGTGTTAGAACTTGGATATTCCCTCATTATCCTCCTAACCACCCTGGGAGGTAGATAGTAACATTGCTTCCACTTTACAGATGGGAAGACAGAGTTTTAGGGAGGTTAAGATTTGCCCAGGGTCCTGAAGCTGAAAGTCTAAAGTTTTGGTGGAATCCAGAGTCCAATGACTATCTGTTGAGCTATGGACCTCATCCCTTGTACAACCAGCCTTCAACTTTGACTAGCCTTTATTCCTAGTGGTTGTGTAAAGGGCACATAAGATTAAGAGTGTGAAAGTGCTTTGTAGGCTGCAAGTACACTAAAGGTATTACTTACAGGCACCTAAACTGTGGGTTTTTTTGTCTGATCTGTGTACTGGTGCCATCCCTGACTACTGCCAACTGTACCCATACCCAGCCCAACAAAAACCTAGAACCACTCCCAGGAGCAGAAAACCCAGAGCTAAGTAACAGAGAGGTGAGAGGATATGCTCAATATTTCTGGCAAGAAATTCTTGGAAGAGGTAAGATACAGGCTAGGAATCGAAGCTGAGGATTAACAAATAGAGTGTTGCCTTCTCCTTGAAAGGACCTTAGGCAGAGCACCGTAGGCCAGTGCTTGAGAAAGCCAAGAAGGAAATGAGAGGACCTGAAAAGGCTAAGAGGATCTGATCAGAGCACCTGGCTGTTCTGAGCTGTACCAAATTTGAGACCCACCCAGAGGTCAGGTAGGGACACCTCAAGGCTCTAGAGGAATAGGGTAGGAGTTGGGAAGGGAGCTGATTTGGAATCAGGCCTGGGATGCAGGCTGTAGAGCAGAGGATGGAAAGAGCCCTGCTGGGAATATGGGGATAGGCTGTGTATGGAGCAATTTCCAATGGGCTTGGACAGTGCAGCAGGGGTCAGTAGCGAGGTGTGCCCATTCTCTATCCCCTGGGGGCCTCAATGTCTATGAAATGGGGCAGTCTTCTACCTCCCAGGACCACCACAAGAACAGATGAGACCAGGAGAGCATCTTGCCCTGCCCCTTTTACATCCTGGGGCATCTCTTCTAGCAAGTCAGATACCAAGTTCTCCCTATTTTACAGATGGGAAAACAGGCACTATGAGGTTAGGAAGGTGGTGCTTGAGGGCACACAGCTGGTACAAAAGTACTCAGAAAAACAGCAGCTGTCCTCATCTACCAGTTCTGAGTAGTAAGACAGGACCACCGACCACACTTGACAAGGCCCCACAGAGTGCGAATGACCTACAGGTGGACATTGGTCTGGGCACTGGCCCTTGCCCAGGAATGAGAACAAGCATAAGAGTACTAGCCAAGGGCAGTGCCTGTAGCTCAAAGGAGTAGGGGACCGGCCCCATAACCGGGTGGGTTCAAATCCAGCCCTGGCCAAAAACTGCAAAAAAGTAAAAAAAAAAAGGATTAAAAAAAAAAAGCATACTAGCCAAGTCAGTTTGGAAGCAGTTTCCATGTTTAGTCCTTACCACACCCTATCAGGGAGTTTGTTTTTTTTCTGAGACAGTGTCTCACTTTGCCCCCCATTGGTAGAGTGCTCTGACATCACAGCTCATAGCAACCTCAAACTCGTGCGCTCAAGTGATTCTCTTGCCTCAGCCTCCCAAGTAGCTGGGACTACAGGTACCTGCCACAGTGCCTGGCTACTTTTAGAGACAAGTCTTTCTCTTGCTCAGGCTGGTCTCAAACTCCTGAGCTCAGGCAGTCTACCCACCTTGGCCTCCCAAGAGTGCTAGGATTACAGGCATGAGCCACCTCCACCAGCCTTATCAGGGAGGTTTTTAGAGAGGAGGAAACTAAGGCAGAGAAGGTAACTTGCTCAAGGTCACACAGCTAGTAGGTGGCACAGCTGGAATCTGAACTCCACCAGTTTGGGTCCAGAAGCCCTGGGCTTAAACCCCATGCCCCAGGCTTCTTCCAGGTGCACAGAGGGTGCTTAGATTAGGGAATGCCCCTTTAGGCCTTTTGCTAGTGTCAGTTCTTCTGGGGCCTGTCTTGTGGGGTGGGGCGTTCTACCACAGTCATGCATTTAGTAATGCTAAACCAGCCATCACCAAAATGAATTCTATTTGTGTAAACTGAATTTTTTTGAGACAGTTTCTGTCACCCTGGGTAGAGTGGCGTGGCATCAAAGCTCATAGCAAGCTCAAATTATTGGGCTTGAGCAATCTTCTTGCCTCGGCCTCCAGGGTATCTGCGATTATAGGTGCTTGCCACTATGCCTGGATACTTTTTCTATTTTTAGAAGAGACGGGGTCTCACTCTTGCGCAGGCTGGTCTTAAACTCCAGAGCTCAAGCAATCCATTTGCCTTGGCCTCCCAGAGTGCTAGGATTATAGGTGGGAGCCACCTTGTCCAACCTGGAAATTGAATTTTGTTGTTGTTGAGACAGAGGCTCACTTTGTCGCTGCTGGTAGAGTGCTGTGGTGTCATAGCTCACAGCAACCTCCAACTCTTGGGCACAAGAGATCCCCTTGCCTCAGTTTTTCATTTTTAGTAGAGATGAGGGTCTTACTCTTTCTCAGGTTGGTCTTGAACTCCTGAGCTCAAGCAATCACCTGCCTTGGCCCCCCAGAGTATTAGGATTACAGGCATGAGCCACGGTGCCTGGCCTGTAAACTGATTTTTAAAAAATAGCTGAGAGGCTTGGTGCTCGTGGCACAGTGGTTACAGCGCCAGCGACATACATAGAAGTTGGTGGGTTTGAACCCAGCCTGGGACAGCTAACCAACAATGACAACTGCAACAAAAAATAGTTGGGCGTTGTGGCAGATGCCTATAGTCCCAGCTACTTGGGAGGCTGAGGCAAGAGAATCGCTTGAGCGCAAGAGTTTGAGGTTGCTATGAGCTGTGATACCATGTCACTCTACCAAGGGTGACAGAGTGAAACTCTGTCTCAAAAAAAAAGAAATAAATAAAAACACCCACAGGTGAAGGTTCTGTGAACTCCCTAGAGGAAGGTGATGAATGGGTGGGGAGAGGCATTGTCAGACTCTTCCCTCTTTGGGGAAAGGAAGGGGTGTAGGTGTGGCTCCTCTCTAAAATTGAGCAAGGTTGAGTGCCTAGGCATGCCCATTCATGCCCCCCTTTTAGAGAGCCTGGCCTGCAGCTGGGGTGTGGGAAGGGAGTGAGGTGGGTGAACACTTTCCCATTTATGCTTCCAGGAGCACCCTTGCACACTTAAAGCAGCGGTGTTCTAACAATTGAGCCAAGCACAGTGGCTGGAGCCTGTAATCCTGTCACTCTGGGAGGCCAACATAGAAGGATCACTTGAGCTCAGGAGTTAGAGCCCAGTCTGAGCAAGAGCAAGACCCTATCTCTACCAAGAGAAAACTAGCAGAGCATTGTGTTGAATACCTATAGTCCCAGCTACTGGAGAGGCTGAGGCAAGAGGACTGCTTGGGCCCAAGAGTTTAAGGTTGCTATGAGCTAGGCTGATGTCACACTTTAACTCCTGGGCTCAAGTGATCCTCCTGCCTCAGCCTCCCAGATAACAGACTACAAGGCATGCACCACCACACTTGGCTGTAGCCTGAGCAACAACGTGAGATTTTGTCTCAAAATAAATAACTAAAAAAAAAAACAGTTGTCGTGTAACAATTCAAAAAGCAGTGAAGCTGTGCCACCAGACAGGGCTAGGTTTGGATCCTGCCTTTCCACGCATAGGCTACACAAAACTCTGCTGCCAGAACACCTGGGCAGCCTATGCTGCCACTGCCCCAGCAGACATTCAGGCCTGTCAGCTTCTAGCACCTACAGGCCTGGCTTTGACTAAAGTGTTTTAGTGCACAAGCCCCTTGGCAGGCTGGTGAAGAGCACCCCCACCTTGCTCCTCAGAACTGATGACATCAGAAAACACTCTAGGCTGGGTACAGTGGCTCATATCTCTAATCCCAGCACTTTGGGAGGATTGTTTGAGGGCAAGAGTTCCGAGATCAGCCTGGGCAACATAGTGAGACCCTGTCTCTACAAAAAATTTTAAGGCTGGGTGCGGTGGCTCACAACTGTTATCCTAGCACTCTGGGAGGCAGAAGCGAGCCTGAGCAAGAACAAAATCCCGTCTTTAAACATTGTGTTTGGGTTTTGTATTGGGCACCTGTATTACCACCTACTTAGGAGGCTGAGGCTAGAGGATCACTTGAACCCAAGAGACTGAGGTTGCTGTGAGCTATGACAATGCCACAATACTGTAAGAAGGGTAAGAAAGTGAGACTCTGTCTCAAAAAAAACTAAAAAAATTAGGCTCAGCACCCAAGCCCAGCCAGGGCCAGGTAAACAACAATGACAACTGCAACAAAAAAATAACCAGACGCTGTGGCAGCTACCTGTAGTCCCAGCTGCTTGGGAGGCTGAGACAGGAGAATCACTTGAGCCCAAGAGTTTGAGCTTGCTGTGAGCTGTGACGCCACGGCACTCTACCGAGGGTGACATAGTGAGACACTGTCTCAGAATAAATAAATAAATAAATAAGGCAGATTGACTTAATTAACCTGCTTAAACTCAACCTGCTCCTAAAGGGCAGAGCTGCCTTTGAATCCTGCAGTCTGACCCAGAGGCCAGCGCTGGGCTGCTTCTCCCACCAAGAAGAGTCCTTTAACCCTTCTTTAACACTCATCCCTTCTCTGGGGACATTTATAGTCCAGCAGGAGCCTAGTGGCAGAGAGCATGAAGAGTGAGCTGCCTTGCCCACATGGAGGGGATAGAGACCTCACGGCTGTGGCAGCTCATTGGTACTTGCCAAACTTTTATGGGAATTCACTTGCTTTCGAGACATGTTACTCCTATTCCCTACCATGCCCTCCACTACCACTCCTGTCTTTGCTGTGGGATCTGAGCAGTCCTATACCTCCTAGCCTTTCTGTGCTTTCCCCTCAGAATCTTATTCCGATGGCCACAACTTAAACCTTATCACCATCAAATAACTCTCACAGGCTGTCCACTGCCTCCTTTGGGTCCAGATTGTCCCTTCAGTTCCCCAACTCAAATTATTCTTCTCCTGTGCCTAACCTGCCTGCACCCCACACCGCCCCCTCTTTCCCACACACCCTACAGGTCTGGCCCTCTGCATTGGGGGAGAGCTCAGTGGACTCCCCCTCCCTTCCAGCTCCTACCAGCATCCTACTGGAAATCCCATCCAGATGCCTAAGAGGCACCTCTAGGCTGATGCAGATCAAAAGGGGTCTGGGTCTTTCCCTACCCGTCAATGTTCCATTTCTATCAAGGAGAATCTCATCTTTCAGGGTGATCAGCCTAACTCCTTGGTGTCATCTGGGACTCCTCTCTCCCCCTCTCACTCCACATCTAGCCTGCTAGCAAATCCTGCCAGCTCTACCACCATCACAATAAACCCAGAGTTTGGTCCCTAGTGATTTCTAAATCAATGCTGTCTCTGCCCAAAGTCAAAGCCAAAGTCCTTACTATGATATTCAACTTCAGGTTGGTCCTCAACTACCCTTCCCCTAACTCTCTCCAGGAATAGGTGCTGCCCCAGGCCATTTGCACTCACCCTTCCCTCTGCCTGGAACTCTTCTCACTGGTACTCAAGTGGCCCCTCATCTCCTCTTTCCTTGGCTCCAGTGTCGCTTCTTACCAAGGCTGGCCTTGACCCCCTCCTTGGTTAAAATCACTCCCCAGCCCCCATGACTCTGGATTCTCTTTACCCTCTTTACCACCACCCACAGCACATGTTATCACCTGACGAATTACAGGATGTCCTTTTTTGTTTGCTCCTAGCCTCATCTCACTAGAAGGTAAGCTCCACAGGGGCAAGTATTACAAGTATTCCTGAATCTTTTCAGCCTATAGCAAACTATAGGCACTCACTATGTGGAGGAAGTGAGTGCCATGTGGGTCAGATCAGCCAGGTAGTGGGGAGAACAGGTGGGAGTTGTGAGCAGAAAAACAGTAAGTGCAAGTTCTGGAAGGTGGAGCTGTGGGATCCAGTCTGAGAGAACAGAGTGTATAAGAGAAAATGGGGAAGGGGGATCACTTAAACTTCAGTGGTCAAGTGATATGGCCTGATTTTTTTCTCAGAAGATCTCTGTGGTTGTTCCAGGAGCCAAGGCCAGTTTGGGGCATGGGGGAGGTAGAGACTACTGAAAAATGACCACTGCCTTTCCATGCCTGTCCTTCCATCTTGGTGCCTATGCCTTCCATCCTGTGGCCTGGAAGGGCTATCTACCCCTTAGGGTTACCTGCCCCTGGCACCAGGCAAGGACAATCCTTCTGGGGGTGGGGAAAGCCACAGGGTGAGAAAGAACACACTCAGGAACCAGAAGGCCCAATCCCAGGGAAAGTATGTAGTCTGGGACAGGGCACTAAAAAGTCTTCCAGCCCTGCCTCCTAAGAAAGGCAGTGCAAGCAAGTGTGACCTTAGGCAAGTCCATTTTCCTTTCTAGATCACTGCTTGCCTCTCATTAATTTCTGTCTTGGCCTAGAATAACAGCTACCTTTTCTGAGCATTTACTGGGCACCAGCTCTATAATAAAGTGCTTCCTATATACTCCTGCCAATTAACCTGATAGTCCTGTAATGGCGGTATGTTAACTACTCTGTTTTACACAAGAGGAGACTGAGGCTGAGAGAAGTTAAAGACTTACCCAAACCTGTCAGTGGGTGTGGATGCCGCTGGGGTGCAGGGGCTAATGGGCTAGGGGTACGGTGGACAGGCAGGTGGGGGGGTAATTACCTCCATGGTGGGTGTTGCTGGCCGGCTGCCCCTGCAGGTGACTGGCGTCCCCCAGGAGACTTGGAGTCGTGCAGCGGTTCTTGCCGGGGCCTAGGGGCTGGTCCCCTGAGGGGCTGGGGCCCAGGCCCCTATCTGAGGAGCTGGAGTCTTCCTGCTCACTCGGCTCAAACTCTGGGATCTGGAACATGCTCTGGGCTGTGCGAACAAAATGGTAGGTAATCAGGGCACAGTTGGGGGAAGCGGCGGTGGTTGGAGGCAGAAGCAGATGCCCCTGGTTCCCTCTCTCACCCCACCCTAGCGTCCCCAAGCCCAGCAGGCCTCCAAGGCCCTCATCTGTCCGCTGAGTCTAGCCTGGCCAGGAACTCAGGTTGTCCACCCAGGACCTAAATTTCGCCTTAAAGCCTTTGTGCTATAGGGCAGACCCAGGCCCCGGCCCGCCCCGGCCCGCCCCGGCCCGCCCTGCCCTGCCCTGCCCTGCCCGTGGCGACGGCACCCAGGTCTCACCCCAAGCCCGATCTCGAGGCCCCTGACCCGGGTCCGCCGCCTCCCTCTGGTACTCAGGGCGCCCAGCCCTAGTTACCTGAGCAACGGGAACTGTCACGGATCCAGCCCAATCAGCTCTCGAAATGTCACTCGGGTTGGCCTGAAGGCGGGGCCACCCGAGGCCGGGTTCCACCCCTACCATCCAACCTACTCCGCGCCCACCGCCTTCCTCTTCTGTCCGGTCCTAGTCTAATGCTCGCCTCTCGGCTTCCTCAAGCCTTGGGCATATGTGGGGGCAGGTGAGGATTTCTCAAGGGTCCCCATTTAAAACCTGGAGGTTCGCTTGTTCTGTCAAGACCTTCAGCCGCTCTGTGCCTTAGTTTCCTCCCATGTAAAATGGGGGTTTATGACACCTCCCTTGGGAGCCAGTGAAAACTTGTAAAAGGAGTGGTGGTTACTGTGAGCAAGCACTTTGCAGAGCCACAACTGAAGCTCAGCCGTCGGATACAATTATTGTTGCTGCTGTTACTACTCCCGGACTGGGTGACCCGGTCGGGAAGTCCCGCTCCCTCCTCCTCCTCCCCTGCGTGGAGGCTTTGCGTCGCCTGCATCAGGGACATCTCCCCGCGCCATCTCGGGGACGCTGGAGATAAGAGAGGCCTCCTCCCTGGTGTAGGATGACTGCCTGGGCGCGGGGAAGTAACAGGTGTCCTTGTGAGGGTTGACCGTAGGACTCGCGGGGCTTTGAGCCCATCGGTGCGGCGCTCAGGTGAGCGGGAACCGGGGAGGACGCACTCGGGGACTCGAGGCCCGGGGATTAAGGCCCAAGGGGCGGAGCCCGGAGGCCATCTTGGCTATGGGCGGAAGTTTCCCTCAGAGGCCGATGAGGGGAAATTGTTGCCGCCCCCAGCCGGGCGACACGATCTCGATTCTGGGATGCGGAAGAGAAATATAGTAACTGTCGGCCTCTTGAACAGGCGTTGGCCAGTGGCCCCGGGCACAGCACCCCCTAGAGCTGGCTGGCTGCAGCACGGCCTCCGCAAGTCGGCCACTCGCCGCCTCCCGTAGCCCCAGGTGCCCGCCGGCGGCGCAGCTCCCGCCAATTCTGAAACAGCGCCACGCCGGACGCAGCGTTGGGCTGTAGAGTAGGGTCGGTCCCTACGCAATTTGCGTAGCGAACCGCGCATGCGCAGGAGGGGGCGGAGCCGCGGGAGCCGCGGAGCCGGATTCCCGGGTCCGGGCGACCGGAGCCGGCTCCCCACCTGCGGCCTGAGGACCAGGCATCGGCCTCCTCCCGCTTCTTGCGGCTAAGAGTGGACGGGGTTGGGGTAGGGTGGGGTCGGCGTCCACAATCCCGAGGACAGAAGGCAGACGCCCCCATCTGGATTATTGGAGGGGAGAGAGCGCCCCCTCCCCGCTTGAGGAGGGGGAGAGCGGGGCGTTGGGCGCCCCCTGTTGCGGCCGCTGCCCTAAGCCGACGGGCATCGGCCGGCTCTCCCCCTCCTGCCAGGACCACACTAGAGACCAAGGCCAGAGATTCATCTCCTTTGGCCTCTGCATCCTCCCACCCCTGGCTCTGGGGTGGGCCCAGAGAGGAAACACCCTCTAACCCCTACCCTGTCTGCCTGTGAGAGAAAAGACTGCCCTTCCACTCCCTCGAGTGATAGCCCGGAGGCCCAGGCTGCCTGTGCTCCCCAAGGACAAGGGTCTTTGTTGAGGAGGAGGGGCCTGGCAGCCACAACTTCTTTCCTCCTGAGCTCCCCATCTCTGTTTCTGCACTGTATAATTCCCATCCCTCTATTTCACTGGCTCCCTCCTAGCCCCTCCATCTCTGTCTCCGGGATTCAGGCCTCCCTTTCTGACATGGAGAGTAACCTGTCTGGCTTGGTGCCTGCTGCTGGGCTGGTGCCTGCTCTGCCACCCGCGGTGACCCTAGGCCTGACGGCTGCCTACACCACTCTGTATGCCCTGCTCTTCTTCTCCGTCTATGCCCAGCTTTGGCTGGTGCTCCTGTATGGGCACAAGCGTCTCAGCTATCAGACAGTGTTCCTTGCACTCTGTCTGCTCTGGGCCGCCTTGCGTACCACCCTCTTCTCCTTCTACTTCCGAGATACTCCTCGAGCCAACCGTCTGGGGCCCTTGCCCTTTTGGCTTCTCTACTGCTGCCCTGTCTGCCTGCAGTTCTTCACCCTGACGCTTATGAACCTCTACTTTGCCCAGGTAACCATGGTAATGGGTAGGGGGTGGGGGTGGCAAGCTCCAAAGATCCAAAGGAGTGATGGGCATCTCTGCTCCTAGGTGGTGTTCAAGGCTAAAGCAAAGCGTCGGCCAGAGATGAGTCGAGGCTTGTAAGTACTCGAGACACTGGTGGGCTCAGTCCCCAGGTCAGGGGCAGGGAACAGCCCTGTGTAGATCCCTTCCTGCCTCTCAGGGCTGAAGCAAGGACTACCCAGGGAGTATTTGTGGAAAAGCTTGGAAAAGTTAAAGCACTGGGTACAGATGGCTCAGCAGAGGCGTTACATATATGAAGGGTAACAATAATAGAAGCAGTCGTGATACTATGAAGGGAGAGGGCACCGATGTCACCATGATGGAGAAAGCTGGAAGCTCCAGCCATGGAAGCACCAAAGCCAAACTGCACTTCTTGGTGACCTTGGGGAGCGATACTCTTGTCATTTGCACAGTGTCGTATAGTTTATAAACAGCTTTCACAAACATCTTTCATTTTTACAATTTACCTGAGGGACTTATTCGCACTTGGGAGGTGAAGAAACTGAGGTCCAGAAAGGTAAAGCAACAGTCACAGAGCTGGCAGGAATAAGAGTCAGGGCTAAAACCCAGATTTCTGACTCCCAATCTGGCACTCTTTCTGAGGTACTGCAGCTGTCATTCACCTTCTGACCTTTTGGCCCTCAATTTCCCCATCTGTAAGACTAGAGAAACAGGGTTCTCACCGGATGATTTCAGTTCTGATCAATACTGGGTCTCCTGGGGGAGGTAGGGTAGTTGGTGAATGCCAAAGGCAGTCAGTGGTCTGGGGCTGACTTTGCTGTGGGCTACAGGCTGGCTGTCCGAGGGGCCTTTGTGGGGGCCTCGCTGCTCTTTCTGCTGGTGAATGTCCTGTGTGCCGTGCTCTCCCGCCGGCGCCGGGCACAGCCCTGGGCCCTCCTGCTGGTTCGAGTCCTGGTGAGCGATTCCCTCTTCGTCATCTGTGCACTCTCTCTTGCTGCCTGCCTCTGCCTTGTTGCCCGGAGGGCTCCTTCCACTAGCATCTACTTGGAAGCCAAGGTAGGGCCACAAGCCCTGATGCCCAGATGTCCTTTGGGATATTTGGGTATTGGTCTTCAGGGTATAGAGGAAGCTGAAAGTCTTCTTTCCCTGAGGATACTCTATTGTCATCTGTGCCAGGGGACCAGTGTGTGCCAGGCAGCTGCAATGGGTGGTGCCATTGTCCTGCTTTATGCCAGCCGGGCCTGCTACAACCTGGCAGCCCTGGCCTTGGCCACTCGGAGCCGACTGGATGCCTTCGATTACGACTGGTACAATGTATCCGACCAGGTGGGCATTTGGCAAGTCTCCCACCTTCTTAGTAGTCATGATGCCTGGCCCCCAGCTGGCCTGGGTGGCCCTCTCCCCCTCCAGGTGCCCCATTAGCATGACTGCAGACTGGCACAAGCCCTTGCCTTCTCACAGGCGGACCTCGTAAATGACCTGGGAAACAAAGGCTACCTGGTGTTCGGCCTCATCCTCTTCGTATGGGAACTGCTGCCTACCACCCTGCTGGTGGGCTTCTTCCGGGTGCACCGGCCTCCACAGGACCTGGTGAGGGCCTCCAGCCTCCTCTGCAGGGGCAGAGGAGAGGTCTGGACACTGGGAATCCTGGCTGGGGTCTGGACTGTGGGATGCCAGTGGGGGGCAGGAGAAAGCACCGATGGCAGCTTCTCCCCCCAGAGCACCAGCCGCATCCTCAATGGGCAGGTCTTTGGCTCCCGTTCCTACTTCTTTGACCGGGCCGGACACTGTGAGGACGAGGGCTGCTCCTGGGAGCACAGCCGAGGCGAGAGCACCAGGTAGGAGCCCTAGCTCTGCCTCAGGACCCCTGGGCCCCTGCCTGGCTCCATTGAGCTATGGGGACCAAGAGCCAGGTCTTGCCCTCACCTCCTACATGGCCTTTGTTTCCCCATCTTTACTAGGTGAGGTGAGGTCTCCTCTGAGTTCCTAGTGCTAAAGACCCCACCTCTTGCCCAGGATGTCCAGGTCATAGGGGTTCTCTTCTAAGCCTCTTTTCCTCCCCCAAATCTTGGGAATGTGACTCGGGTCACTGCCCTGGGACTGACTCTGTTTCTCTGCCTGCAGTATGTCAGGCAGCCTAGGCTCTGGCAGCTGGTATGGCGCCATCGGGCGTGAGCCGGGCTGGTGTGAGGGCAGCCAGACGAGGACCACTCCTCTGCTCTTCTCCCAGGTGCCAGGACCAGGCGGCCACCACCACAGCCTCTACTCTACCCCACAGACGTGATTCCCCAACCTTCCCTTTGAATACCCATACCCCAGGCTCCCTCACCCCAGGCCACTGTGCCAAGTTCATCTGCTGCTTCTTGCCCAGGTCCTGGGGACGTGGCCACCCCCTGCTCTGGCTGGCTCTTTGCTGCTCCTGTCTTAGTGAGCTTACGCCATCCCCTTAGGATGGGGGGCATGGCCCTAGCCACCAGATGCCCACAGCACCCTGGCATGACCTGCCACCTCTGCTTCCACACTGGAGCCAGCTACCTCTCCTGTGCCTGTCACTCAATAAACAGTGTCTGCGCCCTGTGTCTAGTCACTTGTCTGCTGGTCATGTGCTTTGTGTTCCCTTCCTCTTTGTCTGTTTAGCCTAAGGCTAATCAAACGCTGGCACTTGAAGTGGCTGCTGGGCTGGGCAGGGGCCAACTTACCTCCATGAAAGCTGGTGAGCCAAGAGAGGGAGAGGCCTACACTCTGCCATGGAAGGGAGACCACACAGGCCTTTGTTCTCAAAGCTCTCCTGTCCCAGTATAATCCCACTCATTCTGGACCCTTCCCCACTCCAACAAGTTCTATTCTGTCCTCAAGACCTGCTTTATAC